TTGCTAACCAGACAGCTGCTGGAAAAGAAGGATGAGGATGGGAAGATGAATCAAGGCTATGAAGGGGCGAGGACTGAGAATTGGTTGACAACCAGGAAGCAGAGAGTAGGTATCAATGGGCAATTTTCACAATGGAAAGAGGCGATGAGCTGTGTGCTCCAGGGATCTGTCCTGGGACCTGTGCTTTTCAACCTGTTCATAAATGACCTGGAGACAGGGATAAGCAGTGAGGTGGCCAAGTTTACACATGACACAAAACTTTTCGGGGTGGTGAAGGCCTCTGGTGGGGCCCCTGTGAGATACAGGAAGCTGGACTAGATGGGCCCTTGCTTGGCCTGATCCAGCATTGCTCTTCTGTTCTTTTGTTCTCCCTCAGCCTGTTCCCTCCCTAATTTTGAAGTGGTGGCAGTTGAGTCAGTGCCAGGAGCAGTGGAAGGGCAAGCAACAGCAGCATTGATGATGCCACCACGTTGGGGGATGAGAATGGCCTTTTTATGCAAACGTGATGGGGGGGGGGTCACAGATTACCTGGTTATAATTAAAGAGGGTCACAACTTGAAAAAGATTGGGAAACCACCGAGAGAGCGAGAGAGAGAGAGAGCGCCTTGCAACAATACTCCACCATTTTTGTGTGCAGTTCTCCAGGGGATGAGAATTCTTTCTGCTAGAAGTCCTGCATGGACCCACCTTCTGTAACATCACAAGGTTCTGCCTTTGGGTCTCCATTTGGCTCTGAAAATTCAGAGAAAGGGTTGCAGCTGATGCTGACCCAGCAATCCTCAGTGCAGGAGCTGCAGTGCCACCATCCCCCAAGTAACGAAAGCAACACATACTCCATGACCACAGGAATGCATGACTAAGACTTGCCATTGTTCTGTCTGCTTCCTGTATCAAAAAATTTCTTTCAAACAGGGTTGTTTGCTCTTAAGACAACTAGGCAAAATGCCAGCTGGCGCATATGAGCAGGATGGAAGCATTGCTCCTCCCCATGTGTCAAATGAGAGAGATGGGGACAATTTAGGTGGAACAGCTGATGCAGAAGGGGTCACATCCTCACACCCAGCAATTGCTGCCTAATAGCAGAATCAAACTTCTTTGGCAGGGTTAGCCCTACAAGGGGGTGCTGATAAATACTGAGCCTTTCCCAGAAAAAATTGAGCTAGGAAGCTGTAACTGCCACACTGTTCTACATATTCCCCCAGGAAGTCAATGCACTTGTGACATCTGTCCTGCAGCTTCTTAAGTCCCTGCAAATAAAATTATTCCGACTACTGGTGTCGGAAGTATTTGCAGCATTAGTTGCCTCCAAAACACTCCCAAATCGTTGCCCCTTTAGGTGTTTTTTGAGTTTGGGGAACAGATAATAGAAGGAGCCAGGTCGGGAGAAGAGGGTGGATGGGGCATCACTTGAAAGCCTAAGGAGGTCAGTTTTGCCATTGTTTCACCTGCAATGTGTGACGAGGTGTTGTCATGCAACAGGATGACACCTTTGGAGAGCTTTCCTTGACGTTTTTCCTTGACGTTTTGCCTCAACTTTGTCAATAAAGCACAGTAATATTTTCGATTGATGGTTGATCCCTGTTGGAGGTAGTCCACCAGCAGAACTCCCTTCTTATCCCAAAAAAGGTCAGTGCAGAAGCAAATGGCGACAGTATTTCTTTCTTTCTTTTTTTCTTTCTTTTTTTCTTTTTTTCTTTCTTTCTTTCTTTCTTTCTTTCTTAAAAAAGGTCAGTGCAGAAGCAAATGGCGACAGTATTTATTTGTTTGTTTGTTTGTTTGTTTTCTATGCCACCCAGAGACCTCTGGGTAGATTGGCATAGAAACAAACAAACAAGCAAACAAACAAACAAACAAACAAACAAACAAACTGTTGCACTGACCTTTGCATTCGGAGCTTCTTTGGCCTGGGGGAACCACTGTGCCTCCATTCCTTAGACTGTTCCTTTGTCTCAGGATCATAACAGTAGATCCATGTCTCATCACCAGTTATCAGTTTGCCCAGGAAATCTGACTCATTTCTTGCAAAATGTTCCAAAACAGCCACCAATGACGCCACGTGGTTCCTCTTTTGTTCGGTTGTCAAAAGTTTGGGGATCCACTTTGCTGCCAGCTTTCTCATTTCCAAGTTATTGTGGAGAATGGCACCAACTCTCTCACGTGATATTCTCAGATATATAGCAATACTTTTGGCTGATATTCGGCGGTCCTCCATGATCATGTCATAGACCGCTTTCACATTTGCAGGCAGAGAGACAGAAGCAGGCCTTCCACTGAGTTTCTCACTTTCAACATCGAAATGGCCAGTTTTAAAATTGACAACCCAACGTTTAACTGTTGCATATGAAGGTCCACTGTCACCCACAGTTTGTGACATTTCATCATGGATCTGCTTTGCACCTTTCCCTTGGAGAAACAGGAACTTGATTATGGTCCTATGCTCTTCCACACCGAACTTTTCTGGAGGTTCCGTCATGTTCACTTTGGACCTGAACATGAAAGATAAGTTAAAACCATAGGTAGCTGATTTTTCGTCATTGAATACAGACAAATTGGCCAATACACACTGCAATTTATAGCATCCTACCTCAATTTTTTCTGGGAAAGGCTGAATACTTATCAGCACCTCCTCATAGTCTTTACAAACCTGCCCCTTTTCACATAAATGATGACAAGCTTGCACCCTGACCTAGCAGTTAACTCCCAGTAAGAATAGAGGGACTAGATACTAAAGGTGCATTGTAAGACTGTATTTTTAAAAAAATCAGCTTGAGATATACACATTTAACTGGCTGGATAATTCAGTGGTACTGTATAGGCACCATGCTATGGAGCCAGTGGTCAGCAGTTCAATCCCCCATTGTTCCCTAGGGGCTGCTCTTGGATTTTTCCAACATGGTGCTCCCAGTACTCAAGAGTCTGCGTACACTGTGTTGCAGTTTTCCTGAGTGCACCAACACAGGATTAGTTTTCACAAAAATTGCTGAGGCATAGCCCCAGGAAAAGATGCTGAGACTCTTAATGGTCCTCCATATATGAAACCCTATAGTATTGCCACTTGCTAACAGAAGCCACTTGTGGGAGTATTTCTGCAAGTGAAAATCTCATCAACAGACACTTTCTAGAAAAGGGAACTACCAGGGTGTCTCCAGATGACAGGGTGTGAGAAGCAGTTTTCACTTGGGCCATGGTTTTCTATTTGAATTGGGGCAAACCACTGCTTCTAATTGTGCTTTTCAAAACATAGTTGACATACAATAAATTAGGCTAGGCACATCTAGATGTGTCTCGTTCTCTCCCAGATCCACATCCCATCCTTCCTCTGTTCAAAAATGGCACCCTTGTGAAACAGCTTTATGTTTACCCCACGTGTGGATGATTTCTAGGATTGAACCTGTAAGATGTCACAATATTCTTTGTTTGTTTTGTGTTTGTTGTACGTGCTGAAACAGACTAACATGGCTACTAGGAATGGGATTTTCAACGAAAGGGAAAAAATACAGAAGAAGCTGTTCATTTTGCTTTCATGTTCTTCTGTTAATTTCCAAATAAGTGCTCTGAAATAGGAATCTTTTGTTAAAACGAAAGAGGGAAACATGAAAATCTTGTGTTCTTCTGTGTTCCCTTTTTGTTTAATCTCTCTTAAATTGCTTGGGAAATGTTTAATCTGACTATCCCTGAAGCAAAAATGTGACTGTATTGGGATTCTGTGAAAATAAGACAGGGTTTTATACTGTATTAATTTTTGCTCCAAAAATGCATTAGGGCTGGGGGGTTCTGGGGATTTTTTTTTAATGTGCAACATTATTCAAATACAGTCATGTCATCTTCTTCTGGTTGCTGCACAATGGTGGAAGGCGGGGGGTTTCACTTCACTGGGGCTTATTTTTGGGGGTAGGGCTTGGATTAAAACGATGGCAGAAAGGAGAATAAATGTACATTTTACCCCTCCCACACACACACACACTTTAAACACTTTGTTCTATTAAGGAATTAACAGTGTAGCTCAACAAGATTATTCCAGCCCGTCCCAGCAGAAGGATGTGGTGACGAAGCGGAAATGATTCACGAGAGCTCACACTAACATGTAAGTTTTTAAGGTGGCACGTGTTTTTGTTGTTGTTGTTGTTGTTCCTTTTTTGGGATTTTGCCTCATTCAGAGCTGAGAGAATAGAAAAAAGGAGAGGGGGAAACACGTCACCGACCCACGCACCATTCTCCTCATTGGGGAACGTTTTCTCCTTATGAATTAGGAGTTTTGAGCGCGCTCATTTCAAGCCCACGGGGCTCTCACGTGAGTCGCGCGTGATGGTGACCGAATCTCGAAAGTTTTTCATTAGCCCCGCCCTTCCCGCTCGCCTGGGCGCTGACGCTCTCTCTGCAAGGTGTCCGGAGGAGTCTGAGGGTTGGTGGCGACCGAATACGAAGCCCCCCCCAACTCCCATGTCTGTCCCCGAAAGTCTAGGTTTGTAACAGCTGTGGAGAGCCGCTGAGCAGGGTCGTAAAACGCGAAAACACGCGATTAGGAGAAAGAAAGGAGAGCTGGCGGAGGGAACCCGTGTGCATGCCTGGCAAGAGAGATAAGAAATATAAGAAGAAAAACTAGCCCGAGTGAGAAGGTAGGTACTGTACTACTGTTTTATTTGTTTGCTGCATTAGAGGAGGCTCTCCGGCCGCACTTCCCTCCAGGAGAGGGAAGAAATGGCAGTAAGGCAGGATGCAGACCTGGACACTTGTTAAACTTTTGTTTTTCAGAGTAGAGGAGTTGTTAATACTTTTTTCTCTCCCCACAGGGAATCTTGGGACGCTTACTTGATGGGGAAATAATGTAGCACAGCTAGAGGCTTATTTTTCAACATCTGCAGAGATTCTCCCTACCCCGGATGTCAAAGTGACATCACAGACAAGTTTAAAACAGAAACTGTGGCGTATCTGTGAAGCACCATTTTACTGGTTTTCAGGGAAAAACCACGATTACCCGCTGGACCAATAATGTGCATTGCGCGTGGTGTCGATACGTCGTGCACCCCAATCCTGGAAGTTTTCCGCAACCCCACCTTGCCTAACTCCGTCCTTAGCCTGATGATGTGACCATAAGTTGGTGTTGATCCTTCTTAGCCCAACCCACCCTTTGATCAGCTTGCACGTGGATCTGTAATCCTGCAAGTTGGGGGGGGTTGGTGGAGAGGGGAGGCAGCACACTTTTCCTGAAGAGACCAGGATTCTTTTGCACATCTGACAAACAGCAGCATTTACTGCATTGAGAAACTGAGAGAGATGGGTTTTGGTGAAAAAGATGTAATGGATATAAAAGGAACCGAAAAGAAAGAGGAATCTTTTCCACTGGATTCAAATGCAGTGGAGAATGGGGCAGTTACTGAAAACACCACAGGAAGTAAAGCCAAAGCAGGAGCCACTTGGATTCATCCTGCATATGGTGAGTAGTGATTAATGGAGACATAGCTTTGGTTCCCCCTAGTGCCAAGTCTAATAATTCACATTTACAAGAGCTGGGAGATTTTTGAAAGACATTATTGAGAGACATAGGATCAATGCACTTTTCCTGAATTCAGGAGGCTTTGTGGTGAAACCTGTTCAATGAAGGGCAACTATAGAACAAAAGGCGTGTGTTTATATCAGGGAAAAGGAACCTTAGGCCTTCCAATTCTTCAGGCCTGCTGCTATTCTCAGCCTCGACCAACATGGCGAATTCTAAGGGAGTTTGGGATGACTTCCAAACCTCTGGGGGGCCAAAAATTCCCCATTGCTGGTTTTTATCTTGGGAAGACTTGCCTTTCTCAAATGGCTGCCAGCTGTTTTAAGCTGCCTTCTGTGTCCAGCCTTACACATTGAAGAATCCCAGTTCACATTGCTCCTGTACATGTAGAGCAGTACAGTGGTGCCTCGCATAACGATGTTAATTGGTTCCATTAAAACATCGTTATGTGAAAATATCGTTAAGCGAAACACCATTTCCCATAGGAATGCATTGAAAACCGGTTAATCCGTTCCAATAGGAGCCTATTCAATACATTTCAATGGTGAAAAAAATCACCAAAAATTCAAAAAGACGCAGAACGAAGCCAAATTACTTTAACGAAGGTTTTATTAGGTGCACTAACGATTCCAAGCATTTTAAACATTTAAAAAACATTTTAGAATATTTTTAAAATAGCGAAAACATGGCTGTAAAAAAAACGTTAAGTGAAACAGGGGACCTAAAACTGTCATCGTGAAGTGAAGCAAGGTCCCAAACATCGTTATGCGAAAATCCCCCATAGGAAACATCGTTAGGTGAGGCGGCAAAATTTCCAGCAAAGGCCATCGTTATGCGAATTCATCGTTGAGTGAGGCACTCGTTAAGCGAGGCACCACTGTATTAGATTTCTGTGTGATCTTGTGTAGTTCCCTCTTCTCCCTTATTTGGATCTGTCTGGTGAGATAACTCAGGGATGTCTACATTTTTTAACACAAAGCCTTTATTCTTTGACATAAAATCTTTATTCCCTTCAGTAGTAACAAGAGATTTCATCTCTTGCCTCAGGGGCGTTGGGCGTCTTTCCTTCTCATTGAACCATAATAGATCCCCTTCTAACTGCATAGGGGTAGAACTCAAGTCTCTGTAACCCCACCTCAGGGGAATGCCTGATCCCTGAGGCATACTTTCTTGGGGAGGGTGGAAAACCCAGCCCACCCATGGCTCCCATACTTGCCCAGGTTTTGCCTCATCCTCCGTCTGAATTGGCTTGCCCCACGGGGCTTCCCAGGATGGTCTGTTCTCCCTTCCCAGTGCCTCACATCACTGCCACTCTCTTAGCTTTCTCCTTGGTTCTCTTTCTTCCATGTCGCCCCAGTAAGGTGGCTTTCTATAGACCTTTCTCTTCCTCTCCTTCACCCAACATGCTTCCTTCGCTTAAGTTTCTAACTGTCCCCTTCCCCCCTTTTCCTTTATCCCCTCTCCCTCTGGTGGTTCATTCTTTTCTTGTCCTTTCTGCCCCTGCTCTTCTAAACACAGTCCCTTTAGGTTCTCCCCTAAAGGTGGGCATCTGTCCTTCAATGTCTTCAGCCATGGAAGAAGATGGTACACTCTGTGGAGTGCCTTTTAGGCTATCCTCATCCTCACATTCTGATGCACATCTAAGTACATCCATATTCACTTACTCACATTCCCAGAAGGCTATAAGGAGAATGTTGCTGGGGCTGTCCGTGAAGACCAAGGATTCTGAGCCTTACTCGTGTTAGGTTTGAGCTACAGTGGACCCTTGACTTACAGACGGCTTGACTTACAGACTTTTTGAGTTACAGACTTCTCTGGCCGCAAAATTTAGGTTTGACTTGTAGCCTGAGAATTGACTTACAGACCAGAAAAAAACCAAAATGGAACAAAAACTTCCTGTTACGGAATTAATCGGTTTTCAATGCACTGTAGGTCAGTGGAGACTTGACCTACAGACTTTTTGACTTGAGAACCGCCTTCCAATACGGATTAAGTTCTCAAGTCAAGACCCCACTGTAATTAGATCCAAAGAGCCCTGGAGAAGCAATAGGACGAAAAGCTCCTGCCCAGAAGGTTCAGAGCAAACTATTACTATCAACCCATTCTCATGAAACTGAGATTAATGGCAGGAAGCCATGGCTTGATTTATCCCACAACGTTGCTTTATGTATCATGTCTTTCAGCACAGCTCACTTGGAAAACTCTTTCTTCGTGAATGAGTGCCTTCCTCTACAAGTGGTGTCTGTGTTAAGCAAACGCCCAGGAGGCTTATCTTCCAAAGAACTGCGGGCTTCACTAAAGCTTTTGTGTGGTTACATCACCGCCACTGCTCCAATTACCCTGACAGCAGTGTGTTCAGTTTCCCTGTTAAGGGACAGAAGAAAAGGATAGACTCACCTTAGATACAGGTACAATGTGGATATGGTTCACACACCGCGTGGATTCCCTGCAAGAAATATCTGGAATCCCACTGAACTTCGGCAAGTTTTGATAGATTATTTTCCTCTGCAAGGTTGCAGCAGGTGACAACTCGGATGCAGCTCACTTTTTCCCTTTCTTTTCTTCCAGTACTAGGAAGCTGCATACTTAATATCCTGCTGATCATCGTCATCATTGTGTTATTGGGTGAGTGGAAAGTTGCATCAATCCATTCTGCTGGGTTTTGTGTTTGATTGTTGTCTTGTTTTCCTCTGCTAGTGACAGGACCATGGTCCAGTTAGGGCAGCTTTTGTAAGTTGTCCTTATGATAGGCCAGTAGGCATCTGTGAATAGCTACAGCTCCAAAGGTTAAGGTGTGTTGCAGAAGTAGAGTTACTAAGTCTATGTGGACAGAATGCCAGCAGTGGAAGAAAATAATCACGCTAATGTCAGCATTTCCAAGAGCCCAGAAGGTAGATAATCCAAACTTGCCCCCCTTCAGATATTTTGGACAACAATTCTAACTGACTCCAGCAAAGGTGGCCAACCACTAGGGCTTCTGGGAGTTGTAATCCAAAGCATCTGAAAGTCTGACTTTTCCCCTATCTAGAATCTAATCCTTAAGCATGTTTATTCAGAACTGAGAACCACTTTTTTTACTGGGACCTATTTCCAAATAAGGGTGCTTAAGACCGTAGCCTGTTATCTCACAGAGATGTTTGTAAAATTGCGCAGTTATAAGCAAGATCACATTAAGATTTACATTTCATCTTTATGCTTCGTCACCCTGTTGTACCCAATCTTAGTTTCAGAAACAAATTTAAAATTGCTTTTAAAGCCACATCTGCTCTTGTGGAAGGCTAAAACTGCTATGTAGATCTTTGTAAAGACATTAACATTCAGAGCAAAATCCCCATGCTTGGGCCAAATATATTCTGGTTCCCACAATGGTCTTGTGATGCTGATGCAGCATGCATACATCAAATACAGGCTGTTTCCTAAACAGCAATGGCAACTTGTTGAGGTATAGTCATGAGAAGGTAATACAATGCTGCCTTGTTTAATGGGCACCCCGTTTAACGATGAATCCGCATAGTGATGAAGATTTTGCGATTGCAAAAGCGATCGCATTGCAATGTTTTAAATGGGAAAAAATCGCTTTGCGATGATAGGTTTGCTGTTTCACTTACCGATTATCGCATAACGATGATTTTCCAGCAGCTGATTGGCGGTTCCAAAATGGCCGTCGGGTAAAAAAAATGGCCGCCCACTGTGTTTTCGCCCGGATTCCTCGCTTAACGGGCAGCGAAAATGGCTGCCGTATGGAGGATTTTTGCTTAAAGGTGAGTTTTAAGCCCATAGAAACGCATTAAACGGGTTTTAATGCATTCCTATGGGCTTTTTATTTTTGCATAGCGACGAAATTGCTTTGCAGTGATTTTTGCTGCACGGATTATCGTCGCTATGCAGTGCACCACTGTACCTTCACTGCTAGCAGATTAAAAAATGATTTAGTTAACATTTTAAATTACCATTCATTCTTATTTTTGCTGCACGGATTATTGTTGCTATGCGGTGCACTACTGTACCTTCATTGCTAGCAGATTAAAAATGATTTAGTTAACATTTTTAATTACCATTCATTCTTATGGATACAAGGATGGTTTACAGATGTAGCAAAAGATTATATCTGAAACAAAAAACTCTAAAATCTATAATCAAAGCTAAGAGAAACAGTGAAAAGAAAGAAACCAATGAACTGCAAAAAGCCTATTAAAATGCTTTGGTAAACATAAAGCATTTGAGTTTGTGGTGGAGCAGTTGCAATATTGATACCAGCCATACCTTCATAGGAAAAATATTCCAGAGCAGAGGCACCAGAACTGAGAAGCTAATAGCCAATGGTTTATAATAGTGTTGCCCAAAAATCAAGAATACCTGCGGCTGCTCATCTTCCAAATGAAATATGCTGCCTAAATTTACACCAATTGTGTGATGCTCTTGCAGACTAAAAGGATTTTGGTCAAAGAATCTTCTCAAGATTATATAGAAATGCTAAGGATTGGATGCCGAGTCCCTCTGAAAAAGAAGTGATCATCTACTTTGCCAAACTTACTTTTCAATATAAATCATAACTTCAGCTGCTAAGACGCAATATTTCTGGTAGCTGGAGAAGTGGCATATTATTTTCACCTTCCTGCTATTTTGACAAGTCTGTTCACAAGGAAGGAAGAGGGCTCACTTGAAAGTATAGCCGGAGTAGGTAATAATCTCTATTACTTTTTGAAAGCCCTCTTAGCACTGTGGAAAAGAAGACAACCACCATCGCCTGCTGATCCTGTAGTTCTAGTGCTCTCCTGTCCTGATGGCTGGGTTGGATACAGAAGGAGATGCTACTATTTTGCCGATGAAGAAAAAGACTGGGAGTCTAGCAAGAACAACTGTTCAGCGTTCAATGCCTCCTTAACTGTGGTTGACTCCCAGGAAGAGATGGTGAGTACAGTGAGATTGGCAGCAGCCTTGAGTAAGCTTACAGTGTGCTCCCAAAATGCCTTCTCTTGATTAGAAGATGTGGATATTTTGTTTGGAAGTGTACAGTGAAAGGCATTATGTGGTTAACACCACTCTTGGGGGAAATAAATATGAATTCTCAGAAGAGGTAAGAAGGTGCACAATCTGGGATGAGGCGAAGCAATGCCAGCGAGAGCAGAGGGAATCCCCAGGGCTCTGATGAAAGGGTTGGCTATAATATAGATACAGATGATTGGATTCGAATGTTGAATGATAATGATAGATGGATTAAATCTTTTGTATAGGTGGTGGATACGTGACAGAGTAAAATGACTTTAGAGATAGATGAAAAAGATATATAAGAAATTACACAAGGATATATAACGTTTAAATAGAAATGCTCTTGCTGAATATAATACCAGAAATTATTGATTTAAAAGATATATATATATGTTAAAGAAAACTGAAAAAATGTTTTGTGATTGAGCCCAGAAACAAATATGAGCAGAGAATATAACATATGTTATAGATGTTAGTACTGTAACACAGTTACAGAGTCAAGATTATACTAGATATTGTACTACTGTAAACACTTCCCTGTGTGTATGTTTTGTATGGTGTATTTTTCTCCCCCCCCATTTGTATTCCTTTGATAGTTGTCTGTTTCTTATATACTTTTTTAAAAGGGTGGGGGGAAGAAGGTGTACAATTGGAACCATTTCTTCTCTTAACATTTTTCATCATCTGTAGAGAAACCAGAATATATATTGCTTTAAAGTTTTTTATTAGTTCTTTAAGGCTTTATAATGTTTTGTTATGTTTTTAATGTTTTGTTTTCTTAGTAAAACTTACTCAGTTTTCTGATTTGCAGACCAGGAATGTTTTTCCCATTTATTGTTAAAAGTCAGCTGATGTGCATTTTTAGCCAAAATTTGTGTCTTGACAATGTCTTAACAATGTCCAACAACAAGAAAGAAAGAAAGAAAGAAAGAAAAAGAAAGAAAGAAAGAAAGAAAGTGTACAAAATCTTCAGGCAAGAATAAAGCTCTTTATGTAGAGTTCTAAACAATCACAAATAGAAATTTGCTTTGGTCTTTATCGTGCTGGGCACCACAGACTTGTGGATGGTGCAGAAAAAATGTAAAACTTCCAGAAATTTAGGCCAGATGTGCATGCCTAGTTCTTTTGTTAAAAGTGTATGTGCAGCCCTCAATTTGAATTGCACAGAAGTGGATTTCAAAGTGGAGACTGCAAACTTGCTTTTAACACAGGAACCTGGCAGGCATAATTGGCTATGATTACCCAATTTTGTATCATCCGCAAGTTTGATAAGTATTCCCTGTATGTTGAAGACTACAGGACACAGGACTGAGCCCTGGAGTACCCCACTTGTTACCTCCTCTCAGTTTGAGAAGGAGCCATTGATAAGCACTCTCTGAGTATGATTCTGTAACCAACTGTGCATCTAACTCAGTGGTCTCCAACCTTGGGCCTCCAGATGTTCTTGGACTTCAACTCCCAGAAATCCTGATCAGCAGAGGTGGTGGCAAAGGCTTCTGGGAGTTGTAGTTCAATAACATCTGGAGGCCCAACATTGAGGACCACTGATCTAACTGACACTTGTTCTATCCAGCCCACCCCTCTTAGCTTCCTAATCAGAACATTATGGGGCACTTTGTCAAAGGCTTGGCTGAAGTCAAGATATATTATGGCTTAAGCATTCCCACCGTCTATCAGGGAAGCTACCTGATCAAAAAATGGGATCAGATTGATCTGGCAGGATTTGTTCTTGACAAATCCATGCTGGCTTCTAGTTATTCCTGCATTGTTTTTAAGGTACAGTACTTGCATAGTGACTGCTTTATAATCTGGTCTAGAATTTTCACTGGAAATGATGTCAGGCCGAGTGCGACTGCTTTATAATCTGCTCTAGAATTTTTTTCACTGGAATTGATGTCAGGCTGAGTGCTCTGTAGTTCCCAGGTTCCTCCTCTTTTTTGGCCTTTTTGAAGATAGGGACAACGTAAACCCTCATCCAGTCATCTGATGCCTCACCCATTTCCTATGCCTTCAAGAAAATAATAGTGGTTCTGCAATCTCTTCAGCCAGTTCCTTCAGTATCCTTGGATGTAGCTCATCCAGCCCTGGGGATTTGAAAAGTCTGAAGCTGCAATTTTATCTCCTCCTTTTGTACCTCACATCTGCCTGGAGGAGTATAGACTGTCTTTTGCCAGAAGACTGAGCTGAAGTAGGAATTTCTGTCATCTGTTATAATTTCTGTCTTTTCTTTGTCATCTGTTATAATTTTCCTATCCTCATCGAGTAGTTGAGCCACTGTTCCTTTTCTCTGTCTTTTGCTACACATGAATCTCAATATAATTTTCCTATCCTCATCGAGTAGTTGAGCCACTGTTCCTTTTCTTTTGCTACACATGAATCTCAAGAATGCTTTTTTGATGCTTTTAGCATCTCTTGCTAACCTCACTTTATTCTCAGCTTTTGCCCTCTTAATGCCATCCCTGCAATTCTTTGCTACTTGTCTGTACTCTTCCTTTGCAACCTGGCCTTCCTTAAACTCCTTATATGTGTCCCTTTTTGTTTTCGGATCCTCTCTGAGCTTTTTGTGAAGCCACATTGGTCTCACCCCACCCCCGGATTCCATCTTTTTTTCTTGTTGAAATTGTTTGTAGTTGGGCCTTTAGAATTTTCTCTCTTTTAGAAACTCTCGTTTGTAGTTGGGCCTTTAGAATTTTCTCTTTTAGAGACCCATCCTGGAGTCCTTTTTCTGTTAGGATTTCCTGCCCTGGGACCTTACCTATCACTGTTCCGAGTTTATTAAAATTTGCTTTCCTAACTCCTAACGTATACGTGCAGCTACACTCTGCTTTTGTTCCTTTTGAAATCACAAACTCAAGTTAGAACATGGTCACTTTCCCTTAAGAATTTGTTTTACTTCCACTTCCTCCACCAAGCCATCTCTACTGGTTAGGATCAAGTACAGGATAACTACTCCTCTCGTTTCTTCCTCCACTTTTTGTACAAGAAAATAATCAGCCACACAAGCCAGGAGTTTGTTAGATGGTCTATGTTTGGCAGAATTTGTCTCCCAACAGATATCAGGATAATTGAAGTCTTCCATCACAGCTATGTCGTGTTTCTTTGAAATTCCTGTAATTTGTTTTTCAGAAGTTTCATCTGCATCTTCTTGATTGAACGGTCAGTAGTAGACTCCAACTACCATGTTCCTTTTGTTTTTTTGCCCCCCAAACTACCCATCACTACTGTGCCACCCATCTCTACTGATGATAGTAATGTGTGTGCATTTCTTTCCCTCATTAAGGACTTCTTGGCAAGATACAAAACTTCTGATGACCACTGGATCGGTCTCCAAAGGGATTCAGAAGGACAGCCCTGGAGATGGACCAATGGCACCCCCTTCAATAATTGGTTAGACTCTTTTTTTGTGTTTTGCAAGAAAGACATTTCAGAATTCAGAAACCAGATGTGTCATTTGCTACCTGTTTAACAGCACCTGGCAAGAATAGAAAAAAGGATATCCTGGACATTTCATAGGGCTTTTGGCAAGTCTGAACTCCTAATGCTTCTTTGGACCAAACATGGAGTCCAAAGGGAAAGAGTAAAGCAGAGTAGAAAAACAAAGGTTGGTTTTTATGGGAAGGTCTTAGCTGTCTTGGGAGACACACCAGCCAACCAACCATCATCCAGCAAAGAGGATGCCCCATGGCACAGTGGTTAAACTGCAGTACTGCAGCACATGATCTGAGTTTGATCCCAATGAGTTCAGGTAACCAGCTTAAGGTTGACTCAGCCTTCCATCCTTCTGAGGTCAGTAAATTGAGTACCCAACTCATAGGGGTGGGATGGGGGGCAATGTGTAGCTATATAATTAAATTGTAAACCACCCAGAGAATGCTTTAATAGCTGAAGGGTGGTATATAAGCTGCGCATATTGCTTTTTGATACATGTGCTTTCACTGGTAATGCTGTTCAGAGCCTTCTTGACCAGGCATTAACCATTGGCATTGCCGTTGATTCTTTAATCTCCGTTGCTTTCTAGTTTCAAACAGAGGTCTGGAAATTGGTTCTCTCATATTGAAAGGTTAATTAGAGCGCTTAAGCCCTTCTTGTTGCTTTCCAGACTTCATAGGCTGGAGCACCACACTATGGAGTCAGGAGCCAGGAGTCTGATTTTCTGTTGTTCCTCTTGGACAGAAAGTCAGCCTGTGCAGTGTCGGGCAGTGTCAGTGTTGTGTAGTGTCAGGATGCCACAAGAAGGGGGGGGGACTAGTACAGTACTTCTGAATACTTTATGTCAGGAAGCTCTGGGAAGGGCCATTGCTATTATTTATGGGTCTCTCCTTGAGGGCAGGGTCCCCTGAGCCCTCAAGGAGACGCTTATTAGGCCCATTCATTAAAAAAACCTAACTTGGCACCAGACAGTATTCACAACTACAGACCTGTCACCGATGTGCCTTTTCTAAGCAACCTCATAGAAACAGTGGTGGCCCATGGTGGACATGTGATACTGCAAAGAAATATTGGGTCAAACTGTATACATGGATTAAACAAATGACTAAGCAAGAAATACAATTTAAACCAGAAACATTTTTATTGGGACTAATACCAAATAACATAAATAAGCAAAGTTATTACTTAATATCACATGTCCTTACAGCTGCTAGATTAGCATGGGCACAAGTATGGAAGGAGGGAGACCCACCAAAAGACGAAGTGATTATCAAAAAAATATTAGAGTGCGCTGAAATGGATAGACTTACAAAGAGACTAAAAGGGCAAGAAAAGTCAACTTACTATGAAAGCTGGAACATGTTCTACGAATGGTGGAAAGCAAAAACTTTGTAATAAATAGAAAATGACCAAAAGGAATAATGAGGAGAAGACACTGCTGAAAGAAATGTGTTATTATACAAAAGGCTTGTAGGCTAAGCTCTACAGTATGTATCGTTTGTAGATAGAGATTTAGGCATATGTGTGTATATACAGTATATGTCTATGTATGGATATGTGTATATAAAGTAAAAAATAAAAAAATGGAGGATAAAGTCACACAAAAAAAAGAAACAGTGGTGGCCAACCAGCTACAGGCGCTCCTGGATAACTGTATACATGGATTAAACAAATGACTAAGCAAGAAATACAATTTAAACCAGAAACATTTTTATTGGGACTAATACCAAATAACATAAATAAGCAAAGTTATTACTTAATATCACATGTCCTTACAGCTGCTAGATTAGCATGGGCACAAGTATGGAAGGAGGGAGACCCACCAAAAGACGAAGTGATTATCAAAAAAATATTAGAGTGCGCTGAAATGGATAGACTTACAAAGAGACTAAAAGGGCAAGAAAAGTCAACTTACTATGAAAGCTGGAACATGTTCTACGAATGGTGGAAAGCAAAAACTTTGTAATAAATAGAAAATGACCAAAAGGAATAATGAGGAGAAGACACTGCTGAAAGAAATGTGTTATTATACAAAAGGCTTGTAGGCTAAGCTCTACAGTATGTATCGTTTGTAGATAGAGATTTAGGCATATGTGTGTATATACAGTATATGTCTATGTATGGATATGTGTATATAAAGTAAAAAATAAAAAAATGGAGGATAAAGTCACACAAAAAAAAGAAACAGTGGTGGCCAACCAGCTACAGGCACTCCTGGATGAGACCGATACCCTTGATCCATTCCAGTCCAGCTTCATGGCCACATAAGATGATCTCCTTGAGGGAGACCGACAGGAGCAAAATGCCCTTGCTCCTCCTCCTCAATCCTTCAGCAACCTTCAATATGTGATATCCTCCTGAGGAGGCTCTCTGGTTCCGGGGTCAGTGGCCTGGCCTTGTCCTGACTCTGGTCCTTCCTCGAGGATCATTCTCAGAGAGTACAGCTTAAGGAGATGATACCCATGCCTTGAACTCTTAATTGTGGAGTCCCTCAGGGGTTGATTATCTTCCCAAAGCTGTTTAATATTTATATGAGACCACTGGGGGAGGTAATCAGGTGTTTTGGAGCTTCATGTCACCAATATGTGGATGACGCGCAGCTCTCTCTCTTTCCATCCTTCTGGATACTGTCCCGTCCCTTGAGCACTGCCTCGATGCGGTGCTGGGATGGATGAGAGACAATAGATTAAGACCGAACCTGGACAAGACAGAAGTCCTGTGTGTGGGTGCCTCTGGTGTCTGCAGATTGGTGACCTCCCCCTCCATTGAGTGGTGCCTGTTTCCACTAAGGACGAGGTTCACAGACTGGGTGTATTTTTGGAGCCGGCACTATCAGTGGAGTCCCAAATGGCGTCTGAGGTCCTCTCCACCTGAGATGGATTGCCCAGCTGCATCCCTCCCTTGATCTGCTGCGTCCCTACCTAGGTCCGTCACCATTCTTGTCCATGCATTGGTAGTCTCGAGATTAGACTACTGCAATGCTCTCTACATGGGGATGCCTATGAAGCTGCTACAGATACTTTAACAGGTCCAGAATATGGTGGCCAGACTATTGAGTGGTGTGAAGAAATACAGTGGTGCCTCGCTTGACGAGGTTAATTCGTTCCAGCGAAATTGCTGTAGAGCGAAAACATTGTCAAACGAAATTTAAAAACCCATTGAAAAGCATTGAAAACCGTTCAATGCTTTCCAATGGGCTGAATACCTGCTCGTCAGGCGAAGATCATACGGCAGCCATTTTCGGTGCCTGTAAAGCGAGGAATCTGTCCTAGAAAAGGGGGGGGGATTTTCTTCAGCCGGTGGCCATTTTGAAACCTGTCGATCAGCTGTTTGCTGATCATCGTAAAGCGAAAATCGGTACCCGAAGCAAGGAACCGCTCATCGCACAGCGAAAAAACCCCATTTAAAACATCGTCAACGTAAAGCAGATTCGTTGTAGATCGGGATAATTGTCCAGCGGGGCACGACTGTACCATCATATTTCCCCTACTCTGGCCGCCCTGCACTGGTTACTTGTTCATTTCTGTGCCAGCTTTAAGGTGATGATGCAGGCATATAAAAACTAAAACAGTTTGAGACTTTGATACCTAATGGAATGCCTCCTTCCAATAAGATCTGCCTGTCCTACACTTCCCAGATCAGGTGGTTGAGAATACTGACCCTGAGATAGGCCCAGAAGGAGAAGATCACAAACTGGGCCTTCTCAGTGGTCGCTCCCCATCTATGAAATAATCTCTCGCTCAAAATTCACCAGGTCTCTTTAGTGGGAATTTTTAAATGGTCACTGAAAACATGCTATTCAGACAGGCCTTCCCAGACCTTATAACACTGTAACACAGTGGTTGTTTCAGTGTTTATATTATCACTTCTGCCACCTTGCCTTTAAACTATCTTAAATTATATTTAATTTTATGTTCTGTCTATGTGCTCAATTTTCATTTTTTATAGGTATTATTTTTACTGTTTTTAAATTTTTTTTAATTATGTTGGCTGCGAGATGGGTGATATAAAAGTCAAACAAACAAACAAATTAGAATTAACTTGGCATCATAAGAATAACAACAACGATGATAAAAGTAACTCTTTTTATTATTGGAAACCATGTACTGTAAAACGAAACACTGGTTAGATTTTTATCCTTCTCATCAAAACTCCTGACTTTATCTATCTGTCTATCTATCTATCTATCTATCTGTCTGTCTGTCTGTCTGTCTGTCTGTCTGTCTGTCTGTCTGTCTATCTATCTATCTATCTATCTATCTATCTATTTTTTTTTATTTTTTTTATTTTATTTTATTTGTATCCCGCCTATCTAGCCACTTAAGGCCACTCTAGGCGGCTTACAGCAAGCATAATTACAATGTAATTGAAACAATTTTAAGTAAGGGGAAAAACTTAGAGAAAAAAATTAAAAAAAGGAAAGGTCAGGAATTGGCTGAGGGGAAGGCCTGCCGGAACATCAGTGTTTTTAATTGATTTTTTAAAATACCCAGCGAGGGAGCCGCGCGAATGTCAGGGGGAAG